TCCTCAGCTGTCGGCTGTCTGTCCAGCTCAGAGGCAGCTTCTCTGAACTGCCCCAGAGTGTGCCGGTCAAGGGGCCGGCAGGCTGTGGCTGCTGATGGACACTGTCGGCCCCCATGCGCTCACTGGCCTCTGTGTGCGGGGGCTGATGGTGTCAAGCAGCAGCCCCCCGGCCCCTCGCCTTGCCCTGCGACAATGGCACCTCCGCCCTGCCTTGCCTTGCCTTGCCTCACCCTGCAGGACGAGCCTCCTGCCCACCGCCCCACTGCCAGAGACCCCCTAGATCTCCCCCAAATCTGCCCAGCCCCCATAGACGTCCCTCCACATGAGCAACATCGAGGTGACCACACCCACAATGGCCACACCCACCCAGTCTGCCATGACCACCACAGCCACACCCACCCAGTGGACTATGCCCACCTGGCACCCGGCGATAAATAAGTGGGTTCTGGGTTGCAGTTTGGGCACTCAGTCTCTAAAAGTTTCGCCATCACTGTCTTAATACATTCAAATACTAGGAATATAGCTGAAAAAGAACACATGCTGATTGGGAATTATGAGAATCAGAATCCAGAACAGGATGTCAGCATGTGGACATATTTCCCAGGAGAATGCCCCATTAACCTTCGGACTTCGCTGCCAAGTAAACATGTATTAGAACTGCGTTGTTAGGAATTTCAAGGGCTTTTTAGCTTGTACTATAGGTGTAGCACAGAACATAGCATTTTTACATGCCTCACTAAGCAGCAAGATACGTTACAAAGGATCTGAGCAGACCATTCTTTGCTGGATGTGCTGACACTGATTTCCAAGGAAGTGTATGCTGTATAAAGAAGCAGAGATTATAGTACTTTCATCCCCAGGAAGACTTTACTCAGCAGAAAGTCCTTACATCAGGGGTGTCAAACTCAATTTCATTGAGGGCCGCATCAGTATTGCGGTTGCCCTGGGGGGGGGCTGGGGGTGTGTGGCCAGGGTGGGTGCAGCCTACTGGGTGGGCATAGATGGAATGGGTGTGGCCTACTGGGTGGGCGTGGCCAGCTCTACATCATCTGCGTCAAGGGTGCCTGTGGGGGCCTGGGCAGAAGTGGGACAGATCTGAGAGTCTCTGGCAGAAAGAGGTGGGACCAGGGCAGAGCCCATCAAGCCGGATAGGTGAAGTAGGCGAGGGCCATTTGCTGGTCACTTCTAGGCGATGGTGCATTTCTTCATTCCTTACAAAGGGTGACACCTCCCCAGCATGCACCCAGGGAGTGGGGCCAACGCGGCAGGGGCTGGTTCCTCGCTGTTTCTAGACGGCCTTGTGGAGCTAAGACTGAATGCATTTCAGCATAGATGGCCACTACAAAATTGTACATTGGCTCCTGGCTGGCCTGGGCCAGGGCCAGGGCAGTGGGGGTCGTTCCCTCACTGTTTCCAGGATGGCTTTGTGGGCCACATGAAATCACTTCGCGGGCCGCATCTGGCCCCCGGGCCTTGTGTTTGACATGTCTGCCTTACATGATCAAACAGGCTTTCCCCCCCTAAGAATGGACCTGAATAAATCAAGTTTAGCAATAATTATAAATTCTGAGTGCTTAGGTAAGATATTCTACTGATAAGGTGTGCATCAGTGAACAAAATAGCTGCTCATTTTGAATCGGCTTTTTCTCTGCTCTGATATGAATAAAAACATGGCACTTATTAATGATGTCAATGGCACTGTGGAAAAAATGATCAATGGGCTGTAGGGTATTTTTCTTCTTTTTATAGGAGTTCTATAAGAACAGGAATCCTCTAATGTGGAGGGAGTAATTCCTTCTCATTATCACTACAGTGGTGCCAGCTATATTTTGGAGTAAAATATCTATTTTACATGCAGATACACTCAGCTTCCATTTGCAGCCTCTCCAGTTAAACTAACCAAAGATTCATATCAGAAACCTCGCAAAGTTGTTGCCAATCAACATCAACAGTACTGTGCAAGATATCACTAGCCTGTCTCTGTAGTCCTAATGTCAGCCATATAGGGAGGTGGGTGGGCTTCTGAACAGGATGGTAAGTTCTTGTTGCTTTTCTTCCTCCTAAAACAGTGGTGGCGAACCTATGGCACGGGAGCCAGAGGCAGCACTCAGAGCCCTCTTTGTGAGCAAGCACGCCGTCGGCCCAGTCCTAGGCCTTCAGCTGGGTTTTATAAAACCTTTTCGCTTTAGGCCTCCGCCGCCATGTGCAAAAAAAAGATTCAATCAGTCAATCAATTTCAACTTCTCGCAGGAAAAAAAGATCTTGCAAAGTTGGAATTGATTGATTGAACTTTTTAGTCCCACCCAGTCTGCCGTTACCACCAATGCCACACCTACCCAATGGGTCAGACCCCCCAATTGGCCACACCCAGCCAATGGGCCACACCCGCTCAGCACCCGACGATACATAAGTGGGTTTTGGGTTACAGTTTGTGCACTCGGTCTCTAAAGGTTTCGCCACACTGTCCTAAAACATCACAGCATGAGGTGAAAATGACTTCAATTTTAGTTTTTTCGTTCTTTCTAAATTTCATAAAATGCACCCATCCACACCTCAGCCCCTTCCATCAGTTGCCTAATGTAAACCTAATAAAAGACAAAAAGTTTTTCTTTTTGTCTTTTCTTACCATGACCATTTTTGGCATCCTAGATACCAGGACCCAAGACACACAAACAAAAAAGCTCATAGGGTCATGCTTCTATTATTATTGTTATGGTTTCTCTCCAGGATTAATGTTACAGCCATGTGGGAATAATCTCCATAGCAACAATTTTCCTGGGAAGTATTATTGATTTATTGTAGTACTTCTTCTATAAAGGTAATTTAGGTGAATGGGAAATCACATGGGGCTCCCCCAAATTAGCCAGCAGAATTCATTTTGTAATTCTCTAAGTAAGCAAAAGGGCATAGGTTGGAAAATGGACAGAATAAGTAGTAGAATAAAACCATAATATTGTCCTATACATACTTTCCAGGAAAATTGTTGCTGTGGAGATTACTCCCATATGGCTGTACATTCATCTTTGAGAGAAATAGTCAAATCTCATCAGGTCAGCCTGCCAGTCATTTATGCTAGCCAAGAATTTTCACATTCCAAGCTGCCTTTACTCTGCTCACATCCATCTGCTCTGGATGTGTTCCATTACAACTCCATTCCTCATTCTTCAGTTTGTTTTTGATGTTTGAGGATAATAGAGATTGTAGTCCTACATGCACAGAGAGTAGGAAAGCCATAATTCCCAAAACAGTTTGCAATAAGCTTATCTAGAAAAACTGATTCTAGCACTGGAAATAGAATGCAAATAGTTTTGATTTTCTAAACCAGGAATGAATAAATTATAGCCTTCTTAATGAAGCGGGACTACAGCTTCAATAATTCTCAGTAAATATAGGCAACAGCAAGGGGTATTAGAAATAATAATTCAGTAACATGCAGAGGTCCACATATAGATTTTCCATTCCTGGCCCCCCACTTGTTTTTATTACAGTTGCTTTTGTAAGTATCTTCTTAAACTACAACTTCCCCCCATAAACTCAAATATATTAGAAGTGTACATGGGGAGGGTGAGTTAGTTTTCTTACATTTTTGGTCCAGGGAAAAAGTGAAATATATAAACAAACCATAAAGAATTTTAAAGTCAGTTGGTAGCTGAGCCTGAACTAAAGCCGACTGTGCTTTTACACAGAAAAAAGTTGAGATCAGCATTTTTTTAAAAAACAGAAGTGCAAACTAATCTCAGGGGACCAGTGAGCAAAACAGAAGGAAATTGAATCATTAAGACATTCCACCCACCATCAAAAACACACAAACATACACATTGTGATTTTTTGCAAATTCAAATCACAGGACTAGCAAAATAGCAGCAGCTGAGATACACAATGTTTAGATCCCTGTTTCAAATCCCTATCTAGCTTGGATTTCCCAGCCCAGCAGCAATGTGTGGTAGGATTATCCCCAGTGTTCCTTTAAAAGGGGCTTTTGTCTTCCTCTTGTTCCATTTTATTAGGATTAAAAGCAACTTGAGGAAAGAGGAAACTGAGTAGATGGAGGAGAATAACAACCTCAGCATCTGCTCAGATGCACTTTCCCTTTTCCTTGTTTTGATCTCAGAGATGGCAGGTTTCTCACAGTCAAGCTGGGCTATTCTGCAAACCAAGATGAGCTGAGACAAAGTCAAGACCCAGGGGTCTTTAAACTTGGCCCTTTTATGACTTCTGGACTTCAACTCCCAGAATTCCTCAGCCAGTGCTGGCTGAGAAATTCTGGGAGTTGAAGTCCACAAGTCATAAAAGGGCCAAGTTTGAAGACCCCTGGTCAAGACCATTCTGTAAAATATCTAAAACTGGACTGTAGAGCAACATAAATTCTGAAGTCAGGAACTCTGCCAATAAACTTGTTGATACTGAAAAACATTATTAGGGGGAACACACACACCCCCTTTGTTTCATTCTTTTTCTCTTTTTCTACATTTTAGGGGGTGAGGGGAGGGGAAAAAAGAACATCTGAAATCCTGGCTGCCAAGAGCATTCTGCTCAGCACTTGGCCCTTTTCTTCAAGCATCCAATTTCAACCAGCTTTGCTATGACTCCTCGTGAATAAAGCAAGGGAACATCAACATGTCAAAATCCAACTGACTAGAATTTGGACTTTCCCGACCCTTGAAACCCCTATCTCCCTCCCCATTCTCTTGATGGCTGGGATAAGGGCAATTGGAAGCCCGGCTCATCCGGAGAACCCAGGTTGAGAGAGGGCTGTTAGAAACTAACAGAGAAAGAAGATTCTGATCCTTCTTGTAGGAATTTTACATTCGTGCATATGAAGCTGCTCCGAATTATCCAGATCCCGGCCGCCATCCCGAGGAAGGAGGAGAGGCCCCACACGGATTCTCGCCTAAGCTCAGCTCCTTTCTCGGAATACTCCCATTTCCCTCTACGGCAATTCCAGTAACCCTGGGGAGGAGGAGGAGGGGGGGAGGAGGGGGGAGGGGCCCTCATCTCACCTGAGCAGCTGGAGGGCGTCCGTCGACCGTGGGTCCTCCACTAACACGTAGACAGTCGCGGGGGGCGGCTCTGGGTTGGGGGGCCGCTCGCTCGTGTCATGGGACATCATTCCCGCGCCCCACCTCCACTGGAGCTGCCTGGAAAGCAATCGGGGACTCTCAGCGGTTCACGGGACGAAAACGGGTGTGGGATCCAAGCGCGGTGCAATCGTGGTTTTTTTGCAACGCGGAGACAACGAGGCGCAGGAGAGAGGGACGGACGGGGCGGGGGGGAAAGCACTCCGGATCGAGACGCAGAAGAAATCAGTAGCAGCACCGCCTCCTCCCAAAGCAAGAGGAAAACATCCAGCCGGAGGATTGCTTCATTTTCCGGCTCGGGAAGAGGGGGGGGGAGGTCAGCGGAGGAGGGGAAGTCCACGGGAAATGACATCAAAGTGGGATCCACCCACTCATCTAGGAAAGGGATAGGACGGCGAGGGGCAGAATCTGTCTCGAACGATACAAAACTAAGCCTTATCTTAACCCTGCTCCTAGGGCAGGTAACCGTTGAGTAAAGGGAGACCTTGTCAAAAATGGAGGGCTGAATTAACCCGATCAGCCTAGATTCAGACAGTACACTGAGCCCCACCTTGCGATCGCAGTCTGTGAGCCACGAACTATCCAAGCATCTTTTTATCCTAGCTTATTGCAGAACACTGCCCTGCCTGGGTTCAGTTAGGTTATTTATTTATATGCTGTCTATTATTTTTACAAATAACTCAAGGCGGCAGTCATATCTAATGCTCCTTCCTCCTCCCATTTTTCCCACAACAACAACCCTGTCAGGTGAAGTGAGCTGGGCTGAGAGAGAGAGTGACTGGCTCAAGGCCACCCAGCCCGAGGTTCCTTCTTTAATGTTGAAGTCTGTTCTTGCAGGTTAGAGATTTATAGGGGGAAGGAAACGATTTTCCTCACGTTTTTGTAGTCCGTTGTGTTTTGTGCACGTCTAATGTTGTTATTACCTTTCACTCACTGAATCATTGAAAATGATGCAGAAATAGTAAGACATCAGCGAAGTCTAACCCTGCCTTAGGCACAAGGTTGGTTGGGTGACTTTGGGCCAGTCATTCTATCTCAGGGGTAGGCAACCTTGGCTCTTTTATGACTTGTGGACTTCTGGTTGAGGAATTCTGGGAGTTGAAGTCCACAAGTCATAAAAGAGCCAAGGTTGCCTACTCCTGTTCTATCTCAACCCTCAGAAGGAGGCAAAGCAACACACAAGAGGAGACCAGAGTCCAAAAGTGAAACCCTTCTGGAGCATCCAAGATTCTACACTTACATAAAAATTTGGAATAATTTATTATTGATGAATATCTCTCACTCATTAATATAGTTTGCTGAAGTCTCACAAATTCCAACCAGAGGTCACATACTGAATCGTGTCTACTTATGCTTAAAAGGAATCTCATATATCAAGACCAGAGATATTTTCATTTAACTACTCCATCTATGTTCAGCCTTTTCTTCTGAGACATTTGCTCAATCGTCAGTGACTGCCGAATGCTGTAAATCCTTATTGACATTTTTGTTCAAAGAAAGCTCAAGTATCATGTGAAACTCCTATCAAATATAACTGATCTCTTTAAAGTCTTTATACAGAAGGAAAGAAAGTTTGAAATGTAGACTTCTTATAAAACAAACTTCTCTTTAAAATAATCTCAGCAGGTCTTCAAGATCTGACTCTAAATTAATTCACTGAAGTAACCGAACCCTTTAAAGAAGATATTATACCAATCAATGCCTTTCCTGAGTCTATGGGAGGGATTGTAATTTCTGGTATCCAATTTGCTAAAATACCTTCAAGGCAGGTAGAAAATATATTTCTGAACAGGAATGTTGAATATGGATATTTAAAATAATTGTATCTCTCCTAAGATTGCAAACATTTCTACACACTCCTAATTCTGTTGGAGTTTTTCTTTGTTTCCTGTTATTCATATTTTATTTTTATTTTTGCCCTTTTATCATTAATGTTTTTCATGATAAAATAAGGATTAAAGCAGAAAAATAAACTATACATTTTTAAAGAAATTACTTGGTAGAGGCTGGTGTGAAAGGTCATGCTTTAGATTTGAAGATCTGCAGAGATTTTATGTTGCAGAGTCACTTCACTTGTGCTAATGTCAGCTTTCCAATAATACTTTTTAATTCTAGACATAGTATCCAGAACAGACTGAGATAATATGAAAATGATATCAAACATATTTATATAAATCACATCATTTGTATTGCATGCGCCATTATTTGCCTTCAGGCTCCTATGCTTCTGACTCTCTGGAAAACTTTAGAACAGGGTATTTGACTTACAAAATGCAAAGAAAATGCAAGGCACTTCTGGTGGAAATTAAAAAAAAAAATGGGTGAAGATGGCAAAACAAAGAGCTTTCAACAAAAATTAATAGAATTTAAAATTAAAGTGATGCAATGATTTGGACTAAAACAGAAATGAGGGGACATGGTAAAGCCATTTTAGAGATTTGTATAGGAATTGGGGTCATATTGAATAATGAAATTCAAATGAATGCTATATATTTTAATGTTCAGAACTGATTAAAAAAAGAAATCTTAAATACTGCAGAATGTTGAAAAGGAGTAACGCTGCACATGTAGGTAATATCACTGGAGAAATGTTAAAATAAGGCTGTGGTTTGCTAATGGAGTGGCTGTGCAACTCATTTAATATTATGATTGACTGCACAATCAGATGTTTAGGCTGAATTTGGCATTTTTACCCACCTATTACCCATCTTCCCAAGGACCTGGGATAGACAGATGTTGTTGTTTGATGGTGTTAAAGGCATCATCACAGGATGTAAGCTGTTCCAAGTAAAGCTGCCTTTTGCAATTTATAGTGATTTTGTCAATGCCAATGGTGTTCAAGTGGGGTTCCAGTTGTTTTGAGATTGTACCCAAGGCACTTATTACTACTGATACTATCTTTGCTTTCTTTTCCACACAAAAAAAGAGCAAAGACTGTTACCGTTATTATTCTGGAAAATCTACAATTAGATTCACAGTCAAAGACTGGTGGAAAAGTAATAATTCCAGTTCTAACCAGGGAGCCAAAAATTGTTATGGTAGAGTCCGAGGATACATCAATCAACTCAATCAATCGTAGATACAGTCAAAAGGCTCAAAAACACAATCCAAACTTGGCATTGAATAAAAACAGCTCAACAGATGAAATCTTTGCCAAGAAGCTCTCTGGCCTACTTTAAAATCTAAACCAAGAAGAGATACTTCTGAATACAGTACATAAACGTTTTACTTGCAAATGAAAATTCTAAGATTGCAGTGGTAACAACCAGGCTTTAGGCACAAATCAGTGAGCTTGAGTTTACATCTGTTATGTAAAATTTATTAAGTATTTTATTTGTTGAACTGTTTTATCCAATGCCAAGTTTGGGTGGTATTTTAATTTGCTTTTAATAGTGTTTCAACCATAACTAAAATTGATTGAGGATGTGGGCAGTTTCAAGCAGAATACTTTTGGGTGGGTGGGTGTAAAATTAGGATGTTTAGAGCAATTCTCCAGATGCTGCGTTGCATCTCAAATGCACTTCTGCACCTGGAGACAGACATGTCATGACGTATTGCAACTTTTTTTTCATTGCTGGAGCTGGGGTGGGTGCAGCCTCCATATGATGCAACCGGCCGATGGGCCGGTAGTTTGACACCCCTGCATTAGCATATTTTTCCAATTAACAAATTGGTTTTCGATTGTTTCTTTTCTATACTTGTTTTCAGAAGCTTTCCCTGATTGACTTCCTTCAATAAGGACTCCTCATGTTTCTTAATATGCAAGCCATGTTTTTCTTCCTCCACAATTTGTTTCACCTGTAGGAATCTTCTGGTCCTTCCATTCTTCTTCCATTCCAAATAATCACTTTTTGGATGTAGAACATAGTATAATATCATTAGTTTTCTTGTTTTCTGATCCAAATTATCAGGTCTCATCTGGATCCAGTCAACTATTCCTACTGTATATGGTATAATAGGGACTGCTCTGATTGCTTTAATGATATTTCCAGCCTTTAGCCTTGATTTCAAAATTCTTTGAACTTGTTTGATATATTTGGCAGAAGTACTTTCTTTGACTTGGTTCTGTAGTAAATCAGAAGCTTCCAAAATTCCTAAATGTTTGTATCCTTCGCTTGTGCTATTGCCTTTGTCAAATCTTTATTATCAAGCTATTCCATAATCTTCAACTATTTTGCCTGCCATTATGGGTACATTGCACATTTATCAATGCCAAATTGTATTCCAATATCTTTGCTGAATTATTTTGTGCTTTTTAGCAAGGAATCCAGTTCAACCCTCATTTTTCAAATAATTTTAGGTCATCCATATAGGGCAAATGTGAATTTTTTACTCCTTTTTTAGCCAGTTCATATCCACAATTCATCTTGTTCAGAATTGTTGCAAGTGACACCACCAATAGTACAAAGAGTAAAGGTGGTAATACATCATTTTGAAAAATTCCATGTCTAATTTCAACTTCTCCTAATCTTTCCCCATTAGTCATTAACATTATTTGTCAAAGCTTCATTAAAGTGTCCATAAACTGTCAAATGTTTCTGCTGATTCCAAAATGTTCAAGACCTTTCTCAAACCAGCTGTGTGTAAACAGGATCAAATGTTTTTTTTAGACTATCCAAACCATAAACAAATTTGTTGTTGTTGAATTCTTCAAGATCAACTTGTCAAAGGATAACTTTATCCTTTGTTCCCCTCAAATTTTGGCAGCATCCTTTTTGTTCTATAGAGAATAAATGATTCCTTTTCAGATACCCATAAATTTTATTTGCCATTATGCCGATTAGGTTGTATATTATTGACAAGCAGGTTACAAGTCTGTAGTTTCCAGGCTCATTTCCCTTCCCCTTGTCTTTCTGAATTAGGAGTGTCCTTCCAATTGTCAATGATTCTTTATTTTCTGTGCTTCCAAAACTTTATGCATCTTCTCTGCCAGTCTCAAGTCAATCATTTCAGCCAAAATCTAGGAAGTTCATTTGGTCCAGCGACACTAGTTTTGACCTTCTTTGATTATTTTTATACAGTTTCTTCATTTATCCTAATGTCTTCCATCTGGGTATTTTCAACATGCTTGATTCACGTTGTTGTATGGATCTGTATGGATTCTTATCAATACAGCTGTCCATCATG